TCATCAAGCTATGAAGTCATGGGTGATTAAACACATCAATGAGGTCAGAGCCCCCACGATCCAGCCAACTCTCAAAGGCCCCACCTATGGACACTGCTCATTGAGACCAAGTCTTCATATGATCTTCCAGAGGATGTTTCAGGTCCCAAAACATATGTACAAGTGAAACACACACTTAACAAGATGTAAACTATCTAAGTTTTATGTTGTTTTATTCTTTTGACTATTTGGACTTAAAATTATACACGTGGAATATGTTGTGTTGGATATTTCTGACCCAGAGTATATAAAGTACTGTTACAAAGTAGTAAGAAAAATAATTTCATTTAAAAAAGGACAATATTTGAGTGCTAACTTTACAAAAAGAGCATTCAAATAATTGGCAAGTATAAAAAAGGTGCCTATCTGAGAACTAGGCAGTTTGAAGCTGAAATGAGATAGACACTGGCTGACTAAAAGCCTAAGGATGATAAGAGCATGAAAACAGTGGAAACTCTAGTCTGAACTTGTGGTGGATGTGGTTGGTGGTTTCAATGAGTTGCCCTCATAAGTCTTGGGCATTTGAATACTTGCTTCCCAGCTGATAGTTGTTTGGGGAGGATTAGAAGACGTGTCACTGCTAGAGAAAGTATGTCACTGAGAGAGGGCTTTGAAGACTCAGGCTGTTTGCTTCTTGTTTGTAGTTTGAGATGTGAGCTCTCAGCTGTGCTCCAGGCAGCCTGCTGTTTCTACTCCACTGTCATAGACTGCAATATTCTGGAAACATAAGACCCAAATAAATCTTGATCATGTTGTTTTATCACAGTGGAAATGTAAATTGGTCACTTCGTTCCCAATGAACAACTGTGGTAACCTTTGTAAGGACCCTTAATTTCTCCTCCTTGGCATTCACTTGGCAGTAATGCACATAATTGTGTATTGAAAGACTTGTGCCAAAAAGTTAAGAGCAGCATTGGCTATAATAGTACTAAACTAGAAACAAAAATATCGATTGCTAACAAAATTGAAAAATAAATTATGTAATAGTAATATAAAAGACAAAAATGAAAATGAAATGTAAAGCAATAATAAGCAAATCCTGGGACTGGGGAGGTGGCTCAGTCATAAAGTGCTTGCTGTACAAGCATGAGGGACAGAGTTCAAAGAGCGTGGTGGCACAGTATTGTAACTCCAGCATTGGGGAGGTAGAGACAGGATTATTCCTGGGGCTTGCTGGCTGGCCACCACGGGGGTTCCAAGCCAACTATTGAGAGTCTCTTCCTTAACAAGACAAGGTGATTATCATCTAAAGGATGACCTGAGGTTGCATTCTAATATCCCTATGTACCTGCACACATATATTCACCCACTCCCATGAACACACACATACACAGACAAATAATAATGAAAATAACCCTAGGGGTCACCCATCATCAAGGACAATTTCTCTTTGCAACAGACTGAGACCATTACATGGAGACTACAACCAATCAATATGCGGAGTTGTGGATCCCAGTCTCAATGACTACATCTACAAAACACTCCTGTGCCCAAGGCTCAAGAAACAGGTTGTAAGAGGAGGGCAGAAAGATTGTAAGAGCTAGAGGATCAGAGGTCTTTCTGTGAGACTGTTTCTCCTGCAAGTGAAAGAAACTACACCCATAAAGTCTAAACCAGATTGCCAAAACATGAGCTTAACAAGGACAACACAATGAACATGCCAAAGTGGACAGGAAAAGCCCAGAAGACAAAAAAACTACAGACAACTAAGGAAACTGGGAGTGGGAGAAAGTTTTCTCCAAAGAAGGGCACACATGCTTGTTATCCAATGCCAAATTTTCAGGCCTAAAACATATTTACAAGTAACATTATATAGACTGAGTAGGTTATAGTTAGGAATATATATGTATATACATATGTAAATATACAAAGTACAACGAAAATAGAGGCCAGAAATTTAAAACAGAACAAGGAAGAGTATGCAGGAACATTTGGAGGGAGGAAAGGGACGGAGAAATGATGTAATTATAGCATAATCTCAAAAATAAAAGAAATTACATAAAGGAAGCTGGAGAGATCTCTCAGTGGGTAAGAATGCTTGTTCAAGAATGAGGACCTACCTTACCACCTCTGAGGAATGGATGGGGCAGAAGGGGGAAGGGGGGATAGGAGGAGGGCAGGGAAACGGGTTGGTATCTAAAATGAAAAATAAATTTTTAAATAAAAAATAACAAAGACCTGAATTTGGATCTCCATCACTTATATAAAAAGTCAGGCATGGTTCTGAAACCTGTAATCCCAGCATTGGAGACAAGAGGGTGGTTAGGGTTGTTGGTCTCTGGCCTACCTGAAAAATGGGGAGTGCTAAGAAAGCTTTTCTCAAGGGACTAATGTGAAGTTCCTGATGTGTTCTTGTGGCCTCTAATGTGTACCCCTTCCTATATGCACACATGCATCCATCTCATTTGTACACACACACACACATGCCACACACACACACACACACACACACACACACACACACAAGAGAATCTTTCTAGGCAATAATACAGTCTCACTGTATTGAATGAAGGAACTCAGATGTGATCATTCACAAGACACGTAAGTCAGTTTGTATTAAATTTCAAAATAAGTAAAACTACTCTATGAGCTAAGAGTCAGGACCGGTAGACCTTTGGTGGAACAAGCTAAGAGGCTGTATGAAGGAGGCTGTAGAGTGACAGTGCATTTCCAACTTGGGTTGTGTACTCACTACACCAGTGAGCTCAGCAATCACTTAATTGTTGATTAAGGCCCCCTCTAGTATATATTATACATCAATAAAATAATCTGTGTCAACGTCTCTGAACCAATGTTCTGGTACCACCTATGATCCAAATAGTTGGAGTTTGAGATGGGTCTGAGCTACATATTGAGCCTTTTTTTTTCAAAAAACATATGGAAAACCTAGTAAGTGAAACAACAGTGTTTACTCACTATTTATTCATGAAATACCCTATCTCTCTTCTTAGACATAAAGGAATTTTATCTGTAAGTAACCGGTGTCTAAGTAGTTATTTACCTTTTCTTGTTACCAGAAACTAGTAAGATAGTAATGCCTTCCTACCCTCATTCCTTTGTTCTTTCCTCTCTCTTTTTTTTAAGACAAAGTCTCTCTATGTGTATCTGGTTGTCCATGAACTTGTTATGTAGATCAGGGTGGCCTTAAATTCAGAGATCTGCCTGCCTCTGCCTCCTGAGTGCTAGAATTAAAGGTGTGCACCATCATACCTGGAATTAATTTTCTTAAGTTTTCTTTGGTTTGGCGTCCACTTGTAAACTTCTCTAATTCTCATATGAGATAAAATTTGAACTTCTTAACCCTAATTTTATTTATTGTAAAATACATAGTGCATGAATCCAACTTCATTGCCTTCTAAAGTAGTCAAGGCTGAGTATCTATTTACAGGAAACAGTATCAGAATTCAGTTTTCTTTGTAAAGCTAAAATTACAGCATTTTATATGAGCTTATGAAATTGTGTGATGTAGATTAATTTAATAATAGAACAAGGAAGTGACGTCATGAAATGATTTGTCACCCAAAGCAACTTTAGAACTAAACAAGATTAGGGGCCTCTGATCTGGGGAGTAAAAATATTGCTTCAGCAACCTAGATGCCCCTCAACTGAAGAGTGGATAGAGAAAATTTGCTACATTTACACAATGGAGTACTATTCAGCAGAAAAATAATGGAATCTTGTAATTTGCAGGCAAATGGATGGCACTAGAAGAAATCATCCTGAGTGAGATAACCCTGTCACAAAAAAGAAACATGGTATGTACTCACTCATATATGGATTTTAGACATGAATCAGGGGAGTGCCAGCCTACAATCCCATGGCCAGAGAGTCTGGGAAACAGAACCTTCATCCAGCAACTGATAGAAGCAGAGGCAGATACTCACAGCTAAACACTGAACTGAACTGGAATCCAGTGACAGTAAGGGAGGACTGATGAGCAAAGGGGGCTGGTTTAACCCACAGAAATAGTTGACTTGAACAAGGGGGAGTTCTTGGACCCCAGACTGATGCCTGGGTGGATAGCATGGGACTGATACAGACCTCCTGTCTGTGGGTGTCCGTTAGGAGGCCTAGGTAATCTATGGGGCCTTGGGTAGTATTTATCCCTGGCATACAAATGGACTTTGGGAGCCCATTCCACAATGAGGGTGCTCTGTCAACCTGAACTCTTGGTGGAGGGTCTAGGCCCTGCCCTGGATGAAATGACAGACTCTGGAGATCCCCCAGGAAGGGCCTCACCCTCCCTGGGGATTGGAGTGGAGATTGGGTGGGGGACTGGGAGGCCTGGTGGGGAGAGCAGGGGAGGAGGGGAGGGAGAGGGAGCGGGGATTGACATGTGAAGCAAGCTTGTTTCTAACTTAAATAAAAAAGGAGGAAAAAACATTGCTTCAGGATAGGTGTCCAGAGAAAGCAGACAGAGGAGAGGAAACAGATTTCCTAAGTCTTCCCTTGTAGATGTTGGTAAGTGTCACACTCTGCCATTCAGCAGTGACAGGTGAACATGGGCTATGTAGCCTGGCAGACTTGTGTACATTATCAGTTTGCGTTTCCTACTTTCATGATCTTGTGGGAGCTACTGAAGCTACTGAGGTCCTAAGGATGATGGCAGTCATCATATCTTTCCTCCAGGGGCTTCCACAAGACTGCAGGAATCTTCACAGGGCCAGATCTGACAAAGCGAGTGTAAACTTGTTAACGCACAGCTGGAAATGCACTTCAAATATCCCACTTCTATGTCCAGGGCACAAGCCAGCTCTAAGGGTACTTTTATTCTAGTTTTTCTGCTAGGGGCATTCGCTTTGTCAAGGCTTTTGGCATAGCTAACAGAGACTTCTTTTTCCCACCCAAGACCAGGTTTCCCTTGCCATCCTCACATGAGCTATACCCTGTCTTTTTGCAGTTTATCTCCTACCGCAAAGGGGTATTTTTGTACATATACTAGAGTCTGAGAGCATCATTACCATGATCGAAGTTCCAAAGGAATGGATGGTTGTTCCGTTGTATGGGTTCATTGTCTTTGATCTTGTCATACAGGTCATCTATCTTAAGCTTTCCAAATGTTTCAAGAGATTTGGACAATAACTCTAGTGCATGGGAACTTTCATTAAGTCTGCCTTCCTTACTTATTGTCTTCATGAGACACCACTCTTCTGGAGGTTGTAAGCAGGAAAATGAGGGGTGTGCTCAAGACTGGCTGCTAAGCAACAGCCCTGCTCTAGAAGTTCCCCTTTAAGTCATTGTGACATTGTTTTCTGCAAGGCAGCCTTGTGGTATGAAGGCAGCTGGAAAGCCTGATTGAGTGGTAACTCTAGTAATGAACAACATCAGTATTCTGGGCTGACTCCCTTCAGCTCTGGAATAATTTAATGTGTCTTGCTCATTTCTACCATGAGGAGCTTGTCCTTGCCGTAACTGTGCCTGAGAAACTCTTCCCAGATGACAAAATTGTTAGCTGCCCTTGGCAACAGTCATTGTTTGGGACTGGACAAACTAAAGTGCTTTTAAACAAGCTTTCATCTTCTTTATTTCCTTCCTTATTTATTTTTCAACATGGCATCCCCTTATAAAAGGAGATTAGTCTTTCTTACTACTCTGTCTTTCACACTTAGGGTGGCATCTGGCATGTACTAATAGAAAGTGCTTGGAGTTTATGGTGATTGGTTATTACCCAGAGGGAGGATTGGTCAGTCACCAGTGCTGTCATCTTTCATGAGATCTCTGTGCTTGGTGTCAGGGGATGCAGTAAAACAGTAGACAAGGTTCAAGCCATGGTTTCCTGACTTTTCAAGGAGCTGAGCTTCTCCAGGTCTCAGTTCTCAAGAAGTAGTAGTACTGTATTATAAGGTTTGTATGAGAACTAAGTAAGAAAACATGTTCAATAGAGTGTGAGTTGAATGTGGTGGCATCTGATTGTAGTCACATCTGCTCTAGAGATTTAGACAGGAGGATCACTGAGCCCAGGATTTTGTGACCAACCTGGGTTATAAAGGGAGACCCATTCTAAAAGGTAAGAAACAAAACAAAAAATAGTTTTAATACATAAAACGAGCTTACAGTGTGTTCTTAGAAAAAAACCCAAAACAATTATATTCTTATTACATGAATAATTTTTTTTTGGTTTTTACGAGACAGGGTTTCTCTGTATTGTTTTGGAGGCTGTCGGTCCAGCCTGGCCTCGAACTCACAGAGATCCGCCTGCCTCTGCCTCCCGAGTGCTGGGATTAAAGGCGTGCACCACCACTGCCCGACACACAATTATATTCTTATTACATGAAGAATTTTTAAATTGTAAGAGAAACACATTTTAGTGCTTTTAAGAACAAAGGAGAATTGTAAAGTTAAAGGGAAGTCTTATAGACTCCAAAGGCAGAAGCGCATCTGGCTTCATGAAGGATCTAGAATCAGGAGCTATGAAGCTATTGGTAAGTGCTCTCACTAGATCCTACATTCTAACTTTTGCATTTAGCATAACTTTCTCTTCTCCTCAGTACTCTACAGCTCCTGAGCTTATATTCCGCCACCCTTAGTGACTAACAGACCAACACTCTTCGTTCTCAGTTGTGAATTCCAGGAAGTGGTAATCTAATCTGCTCCATTGGGTCTAGTGACCAGTTAATCAGACAACCATGTGAGTGAGGGGTGACAGCAGCTGGCTGCCACATCTATGTTTTAAGTAAAGTACATTTTCTCAGAAAAGGATCCTGCCTGCTCATATTCCGGGCAGATACCCTGTGATGCATCCACTGCTCCTCCATGATGAACCCACTGCACAGATACCAATCCTGGAAACACCAGAGCAGCACTTGGCCTTGAGCAGACGTAGGATGATGTTCTGGGCTTCCAGTCTTGGACAAGGCAAGCAGAGCAGCATATGCTCATATGTCCAGGGGTCACTACGGCTCCATTCTGAGAACTCTCATACTATAGACCTTTCTTGTAAATGTCCTCATCTTGTCCTGTGCACCAACCATTTCATTCTCACAGCCTCAGACATCATGCAGATGTACACAGACAGACAGAAGACTGTAGCATGATGGCTTCACTACATTCTCACACAGTCTCTCCACTTTTCATCAGAAGCAGCTGGTATTTGCACACTGAGAAAGGGTTTTCACCAAATCACAAAACCCCTCAAGGGAAACTCATGTTTGACTACTGATTTTATTTTAGTACTTTAGGTAGATTCAAGATGACCTTTGTGAGGAGGAAAGGAGACTCCAGAGCCCTGGGGAAAGCTGACAGGGACAAGTTAATGACTGACTGGTTTCTTCATAACCGGCTGTTTTGAGGAGAAGGTTCATTTGGAAATTGTGCTTGGATGAGATTCATTTGGGCAGTGCCAGAGGCAATTTGATCACCCCCCTGGCATAGATGACACAGAACCTATGTTCTCAGGGTTTCTCTTCAAGCCCTTACTTCTACTGTCTAGGGGAGCAGCGTTTACTTGTTGAAGATCTGAAACAGATGCCATGCAACCTGAGGAACAACACAAAGTGATGAGCAGGGACCCTCATGAGAAGGTACACTGCCACTGTCGGTGAAGAAAAGTATGGGCATGGTGACCTTGACTGGGTTAGGTCAGAGGATAGTTCTATGCTCAGGATTTAAGAAGTTATAGCAACCCAAGTCCTCACACATTTCCCTGTCTTCCTACTTTGACTCAAAGATAGCTCGACTTGGAATGAAAAAAATGTATCTACGATGTAAAGTAAGAAGTTTTGAAGATCCAGGTAAAAATACTAAAAAATATGTATAGTGACATGAGATTACTGTTGAACCTTCCTGTTAAATCTCCCCAGAGAGGGGTGAGTGAGACATCAAAGAACAGTTCCATAGAGCTGTAGATGCTTATGGTGATGGCCAGCACAATATCTGTAGACTGTTGCACACCTCAAGACCTAGCAGACCTGGACCCTGCTTCCAGGTATTCTTGGTTTGCCTTGAAGGCGTACCTTCCCTGACATGGAAGTTGAGGGTTTATAAAAGCTCAGTGACTGTCACTTGAGCAAGAGCAGTGGGATGAAGTAGGAAGAGTCTTCATGGGCAAGGGGAATATGCATGTCAAGGCTCCCTTCCAGTTGGAGGAATATTTGCATACCCTTGGCATGTCCCTGGTGTTACATACTTTTACTGTGCACTCTGGGAGCATTCTTCAAGGTAGATGTCAGGGGAAACTGTTCCTGGTTGCAGAAAGCACCAGAGAAGTCATCCATGTGAAGGGTCCATAACATGGCACCTCCCAGTCTGTTCTGTTTAAGCCATTCAGCCTGTTGAAGGATAAAGGATAACAGTAATCATTTGATTTCTTGAAACTCAGGGTTGGGGCCTCAGAACATCCATGGGACAGACTTACCTTGATACGAAAGTTCTTGACATTATTATAACCAATTCATTTGTTGCCCTGATAGGCATAGGGCACTTCCTCAGCAGCATCCCAGGCCTCAGTGGCTCCATCATTCAGGAAGGTACAAATCTTTAAAGGTCAAGAGATAATAATCCTTTAAGTATTATGTCATGAAAGAGAGAAAAATATGCTTTGTTTTTTTCTTCCTTTAATGTATATGTCTAGGGGAGTTTTCCTCAGTTTTCTAGTGGGTTTTATTTTGAGTAAAGAAGTCTGAGGTATTTTTCATTTTGTGGTTCTGGGGATGAAACTCATGGTATTGCTCATGCTACATAAGTACTCTGCAACTGAGCTTCATCCATAGTCCATGCTTTTTAATTATTTATTTGCTTTTTGGTATAGACTCTCAGTCTATAGCCCAGACTTCAAACGGTTGGCTCCTTTGCCTCTGCATTCTGAAAGTTGATATAACAGCTTTATATAGACAGCACCATAGCAGACAGAAACATTCATATCATTGTACACTATGATACATTTTTAAAGTGAATGACACTTGCCATACTCATTAAGGCAAGATCTAGACCACTGAGTAACACCTTTAGCTCATGCTGTTTTCAAATGCTCATTTGCCGTCCATATTTTAGGGTTGGGTTTTTAGAATCTGTAGTAATATGTAACATATGTTCATTTATCCATGTAAATAGACTTAAGAACGTTCCAGTTGCATAAAGGGATATTATCTATTGCTAACCACTCTTCAATTTAGTAAATATAGACTGTAGATACAAAACTTCCAAGCATTTGGAATGATACTCTGCTTATAGTAGGTAGATACTGGACATAATGAGCATTCAAATTCAGTAGATTTCTATCCCCAGTAGCACAGCTCTGGGCCTGATAGTCACAGAGCACTGTAAGATAATGTACTGACCTCATAATAGGCCCAGATGCCAGATTCTTCTCTGTATGGCCCTAGTACACCAACACTAATGGTAGGGGCACAGATTCCAGTATTGGAGGGGTCACTCAGGGTGAAGGTTTGCCAATATGCTGGGAATCCAACAACGAGCTTCCCAGTATCTGCTCCATTTTCATTCCAGTAGGTCATGATGTAATCCTGCAATGGCACAAGGTTAGCTATAGGCCTTCAGGAGCTAGTGACATGTGCTGGGCTATGTTAGTTCCTTGTCCTAACTGTTCAAATTATTTATTGATAATTTATTATTTTTCTTTCCAAAATACTTAGTATTTTGCTGTGGTTAATGAGGTATACAAGAATGCTGTATAATCAAAATTTTATGATGAACCTCTCATTATTTGGACCATTTCTAGTTTGCATTTGCATCTGTATAGGGCTCTTACCACACTGAGGAAAGTGTTGGTACCAGTGTCACTTAGGGATTTGTAAAGGGGAATGTTTTCCTCAGTGTAGCCATCTTGGGAGCCATTGAGATTGTAAGTCATGACCTGGATATAGTCTAGGGAGCTGTGGACAAAGAATATTATTTAAATAATTTCTGATGGTCATTTGTCATGCCCGTGCCAGGAAAACGCACCCTTTTGAAGCCTATTAACAAAGTTCATGTGCAGCAAAACATCCCTAGGATGAAGATCTGCTGCTTACACTCCCACAAGAATTCCAGAATGTGGTAGATCACTTACTGTGACAATTGGGGGGTCTCATCGCCAGACTGGATGGTGAGGATGACACCAGCCACTGTAGCAGTGATCATCAGCCTTTGATTCTTGTTCTGAAAGGCTTCTTGTTCAAAAGCTTCACGCATTTCCTACAGAATATTAAAGTACAGTAGAGAAC